ATATTATTAAACTTATAATATTATAAAGTATAAAGGTTGAATTTTAACTTTTAAAATTCTAGGGGTTGGAACTAAAGTTTTTAATATGACTTTACATGTTCCAAAACTTGAGGGCAAGTTTTGTAAACTTTCAAAACTTTTCATTTCTCATAACTTATGAGTTAATGGTTATTAAAAATGAAGACTCTTCATTTTTTTTGTAACCTATGTGTTCTTTTAATGGTTATTTATAAATGTGACTTTTGGTTATCCATAACTTAAGAACTAGTTATAGACTCCATTAAAACACATAAAGATCAAGAATTAATCTAATCAATTATTAACACATAATTTCTATGATCTTCTAAACTCATATGTTTATGAATGTTCATATCAAAAATTTCAAGAATCGTAAGTACATATACAAAACTTGAAATTTTGATACGAGCTTTTGAACAAAACTTCGATTTTCAAGGTTTTTTTTTTTATTTTTTTTTTTTTGCATCAAGTATCAAATAAACAAACCAGGCTCTGATACTACTGATGGGTTTTGAGCATTCTAACACTCCTATGGTGTACATGCAACCCTAGAAACCTTGGATCTATGTTTGACTAAGATACATGCAAATAATTATTTTTCCAAGGTTCTTATCCTAACTAGCATGACATGGGGTACTTGAATCAAATAAAACTAGTAGAATTACTTACCTTGTAGTAGTAGTTGATTGCTTGGAGTTTGAGAGCCTAGCACCAATAATGTGGATGCCTCAAATGGAAGTCACAAATCACCACAAACTTGGAAACTTGAGAGAATAGTCACAAACTTCTTGAAATCGGCCCTCTTAGTTTACACACATCAACTAGTGCAAATTTCAAGAACCAAGGCCTCCTTTATATAGTGTGGTGGATTAGGGTTACATCCATGTAAACCCTAATACCCATGTCTTTTCATTTCCATGAGATCCATGGGTTAAAGCTCCATGGAGTATCCATGGACTTTCCATGCAAGCCTAGCCCATTCCAAATAAGCATTAGCTCACACTATATAAATATAAGAGCCCATATTTAATTAGTCATACTTTTGATCTCTAAATTAATTCTAAATTAATTATAGATCAACACTAATTAAATAATATGATTTTATATTAATATATTAGAACTTATAATATATTAATAAAGCATAACTTATACTATTCTCAAAAGATTATCCGTAAATTGTTCGGGTGAAGTGCAACCCAAATGGACCATGCCGGGTCGGGTCAAGTACATACCAAATATAGTTATGGACTTAGACACTATATCCAACACCTCCATGGGAGAGTTTGGGTGTCGTATTGGGGAGGAGTACGACAGGTGTTGATGGATGAGGCCCACAAGTCCCGGTTCTCCATCCATCCAGGGCGACGAAGATGTATAGAGATCTTCGACCCGATTATTGGTGGCCCTGCATGAAGCGGGACGTAGCCTGGTACGTAGAGAGATGCCTGACCTGCAGGAAGGTCAAGGCAGAACACCAGAGACCCCACGGCAAGATGCAGCCGTTAGACATTCCTGTGTGGAAATGGGAGGATATCACTATGGATTTCATCACTAAGCTTCCCAGGACCGCACGTGGAGTTGACTCGATTTGGGTCATAGTGGATCGGCTGACCAAGAGCGCGCATTTCATACCGATTCAGGAGAGCATATGGTCGAGAAGCTAGCCGATATTTACGTACGCGAGGTAGTGGCACGACATGGAGTGCCTGTATCAGTAGTATCAGACCGAGACGTCCGTTTTACTTCCAGGTTTTGGAAGCGGTTTCATGACGAGATGGGGACTTGTCTTCATTTTAGCACCGCTTCCCCCCCCCCCCCAGACGGAGGGGTAGAGCGAGAGGACGATTCAGACTCTCGAGGACATGCTTCGGGCATGTGCCCTAGATTTTGGTGGCAGTTGGGATACGTATCTTCCTTTAGCGGAATTTTCGTATAACAATAGTTACCACGCTAGTATTGACCGCCCTCCTTTCGAGATGCTTTACGGGAGAAAGTGTAGGACCCCGATTTGTTGGGGCGAGGTCGGTCAGCGAGTCATTGGGAGCACCGAGGTGGTGCTCAAGACCACAGAGTTGATCCACCAGGTCCGTAGCAGATTGCAGACTGCGCAGAGTCGACAGAAGAGTTACGCCGACAGGAGGCGTTCGGACTTGGAGTTTCGGGTGGGCGATATGGTCCTCCTGAAGGTATCAACCTGGAAGGGTGTTATCAGGTTCCGGAAGAGGGGCAAGCTGGGCCCCAGGTTCATTGGTCCTTTTAGGGTTTTGGCCCAGGTGGGTCGGGTTGCTTATCGGTTGTACCTTCCAGCAGAGCTTAGCCAGATCCACAACACCTTCCATGTTTCTCAGTTGAGGAAGTGTTTGGTGGACGAGTCAGCAGTTGTACCCTTAGAGGATATTCAGGTTGATAGCACCTGAATTATATCGAGAGACCAGTTGCGATCTTGGATCGGAAGACGAAGACCTTGAGGAACAAGTGGTTCAGTTAGTGAAGGTGCAGTGGCAGCACCGAAAGGGATCAGAGTGGACGTGGGAGACCGAGGGGGAGATGAGGGAGCATTATCCAGAGTTATTTTCGGATTCAGCGACAGCAGACTTCGAGGACGAAGTCTAAGATAAGTGGGGGAGAGTTGTAACGCCCCATTTCTGGTATGTAATTTTAATTAAAGTATCTCCATTTCTTAGGGGTGCTCGACGAATCCTGTAGCCCGACTCGTCGAGTAGAAGCGGGATGAGCTCGCGATTTAAGTTGGCTACTCGGCGAGTCCATATGTTGGGACTCGGCGAGTCTGCTGTCTGGATGAAGCCCTAATTTCAAGGGTTTGTACCCTATTTAAACGTCATTATAGCCTCACCCCCAGCCACCAACAGCACCTTTAGAGCATTTCCCTGTAAACCCTAGCCCCCATTGTGAACTTGAGTGTGTTTGTGCTAGTTTGGAAGCTTTGGAAGGGAAGGAAGGAAAGAAGGTCCATAGAAGAGAAAGGAGATCCAAGAGTTAGCTTCCATCTGTTTCTCATTCAGCCGGGGAGTTCCGGAGCAGCAGTCAAACAGTTTCAGATTTAGTATCTCAGCAGCCAGTGTTACGAGGTGAGTTTCCTTCCAGTAGGAACGGGTCTACGGCCACAATGCCGGCCCGTTTAGTTAGCAGTAGTTCCGGACTACGGTCCGATTCAGTAGTTCAGTGTGCTTGATGTCTTTGTGATTCAAGCAAGTCTTTGTGTTATGTGTTTCCGGACTTCGGTCCGATGCAGTATGCAGTATATGTGTTTATGCTAGTAGTTATGATTATGCTATGCTATGTTCAGTCAGTTTCCGGACTTGGTCCGATGCAGAGGGCAAGGCCCTGGTTAGTCACGGACTTCGGTCCGATGCAGTTTCCGGACTTCGATCCGATGCAGAGGGCAAGGTCCTGGTTAGTTCCGGACCTCGGTCCGATGCAGTTTCCGGACTTCGGTCCGATGCAGAGGGCAAGGCCCTAGTTAGTTCCGGACTCCGGTCCGATGCAGTTTCCGGACTCCGGTCCGATGCAGTGGGCAAGGCCCAATACGTGTTTATATGTTGTTGTATGGTATGTGGTAGTTTGGGGGAGCTCACTAAGCTTCGTGCTTACAGTTTCAGTTTTGGTTTCAGGTACTTCCGCTAGCAAAGGGAAGAGCTCGGGTTGATGGCATCGCACCCACCACAGCTTCAGTTTTATCCTGGGAGTTTTATTCAGACATTTTGTTGTGATTGATACAGTTTTGGTTTTGACACAGTTACTATGACTTTTGAGTACTCATTCCATGGTTCTTGTTATATATGACATTGGATGATGTGATTTTAGTAATATTAAAACAAAAATTTTTGGGTCGTATTTTGGGTTGTTTCAGTGTGATGGAGATGACGATGAGTGATGACTGTTTACATTTTATGGTGTCAAGTGTGCAGGTAAATGGAGTGGAAGAGGTTGGAGAATGGTGGTTCTGGTACGGTTTTGGGTTGAAGATGGGTGAAGGTGGCTATGGTGGGTCTAAGGGTGGAGAAGAGTGTAAGGGTGGAAGGTTGGTATGGACATGATAAGTTCTGTAGTATTAGTGAAAATTTGGGGGGTTTTATGACAAAAAATAGACTTAGAGCATATCCAGTTTTTTTTTTTTTTTTTTTTTTTTTTTTTTTTTTTTTTTTTTTATTAAAAATTTGGAGGCTTTTATGTCAAAAACCCTATTGTTATTCAAGAAAATTCTAATGTGGATTCTTTGTTTTTCTTTTATGTCAGAAGTTATCAATGGGAGCAATGTCAATATTCTTGGTAGAGGCTCACTACCTACATCTTAATTCCTCTTATTTTACTGCATCATCATGGGATATTTTGATATTGTTGTTGTTTGGTCGAATCACAAATAAAAAAACTCTCTATTCTTGTAATCTCAACAAATTTTGTGTTATCGAATCTCATTTTTGTAATTCTGTCATATTTTATCAGGTAACTTTAGGATATGTTTGGATTCAAGAAATCCTTAGGATTTGAATGTATTTAAAAGTAAAATATCATGGAATCCCTTGATTGATATGATACATGAAAGGAATTTAAAATCCAACATTTTCTAAAATAAAAAACCCTTGTTTAATGGATTGTTAAAAAAAAAAAAAAAAAAAAAAAAAAAAAAAAAACCTCCATGGACCCAAGGTTTCGAAATCCTATCCTTTATCATACTAGATTTAATTTGAAGCTTTCTATTCCCAAGTAGTCGGAAAAAATCTCAATGCCAACATTTAAATGTCACAAAGAAAACCGATTTTAAATATATTCGAGATATAAATGAGATAGAAAATCCACTCCTACTCCCACTCTCAAGATCACTTCGCCAAACTATTTGTTTTTGTTCAAATACTATTAGAAATTTAGAATAACAGTAATTAGTAAACACAAAATTTCAAGTTGCTTACCTTCCATAATATATTTTTCAAAACAACAATGAATAAGAATAACGAAGATACATAGTTACGTGTGGTCTCATACATAATTTAATAAATTAACATCCAAAAGCATCCATTAATAAAGTATACAAACCAAATCTTACACTACTAACAACTACCCATAAATCTAAATAGTATTAAAAAAAAACAACACCCAAACCCAAATCAATGAAAATTACATCGTTCCAACATAGGATGACTATAATCAACATACTTCTCCCACAAAGGCTTATACTTCTCCATCCCAATCTTCAACCAAGGCTTCAAATTCCCATTAAAATGCAACACAGCTCCATTCTCAATCACCTGTGCATCCACATTCGTATAACCCAACCCCAACACATGCCACCTAGGATCCAAAGCCTCTGTCAACCCATAAAACGTCAGCAGTCCAGGTGGCAGTGTCCCAAGCTTCCACAAACTCCTATCCACATTCTTCTCCTGCCAATAATGATAAATCCCAGTCACATTTCTCTTCCTCCACTCCACCAAATCAAACACATTCATCCCAAATGCCCACCCACATGCATCCGGGTCAAAGTGGGCCCGTATCAACGGATGAGAATAATTCAAATACTTATGATACCTATGAAAAGTCTCTGTACATGTCTCAACAGCCCCATTCACATTCCCATTCAAGTCAACATTAAAAAGACCAGAAATGTCCTTTTGGACAACAACATCGTCATCTAGAAACACGAGTTTCTTCAAAGACGGGAAAACTTCCGGAATGTAGAAACGTAAATGGTTCAACATCGATAGATACTTCGGGTTCCGGAACTTTATCGGGGTTTTCCCGCCATCATTACTTCCAGAAAAATAATAATTCTGAGTGTCCGAATCTTGTAGCTGTTTGAGGACAGGGACATAAGAGGAATTTAACCACGTGAAATCTTCAAACTTTTGAACATCAACAGTTACCCCACGAAAACTGTTCATGCTAAACCATGCTTTCATTGCATGAAAGTTGACTTCATCGGTTACTAAATGGAAGACTAATTTAGCAGGGTTTAAGGAATTTGATGCTGTTGAATTTATAACTACAGATGTTGCAAGAATGTTGTCTGAAAAGACACAAAAGTGATGAAGATTGTTGTCTTTTAGTTTTGCCTCAATTTGGGTTTGACTTTTTTTCTGTAAGTCAGAGTGTTTGAACCATTCGGTTGTTAAGCGTACACCAAGACAATATAAACTTTTTGGGACTTCTTCAGCTGCGATTTGACCATATTTGTTGCTTTTTTCCATTACAGAACTTGTTTGTTCTTCAAGATCTTGGATTCTGGTTTTGAGTCGCATGATCATGGTGGCACTATCGTAGTGGAGTTGTTGGGCTTGAAAGAGTAAAAGGGCCATGTCTTTGACAGCTGTCTCGGATTCTTGAAGGGTTAGTGGGGTCCGCCTTAAGGCTGCATTTGAAAGAAGGATTTGGGAGTTTCGAATTTGAGCACTTAGTTCCCATGCGAATTGAAGGTTGTTGCTTTCTTTTGCAATTACAACAAAGGCTTTTGCTAATGAGATTTGGTCATTAAGTTGTCTTGTGATTGAATCAGGGTTTAGCATTTCAGCTGTGATGTTAAGGCCTTCTATCACTTTATCATGCCCATAAGAACTCTTCATAAAAAAGAAATTGCAAGTTTGTTTGGAGTAAGATTTAGACACAAAGGAATTTCATGCAATGGATTTGTAACTACAAGATGCAAATGGACATGTAGTATGTAGTATGCCTATGTAGTAACATCTACCAAAAGAAAGAGAAAAATCTGATTTTGATTCTTAACTTCTTATTAGAGCACTTAGTTGATCATGCAGATTTGCAGATGTAATTGGAAGAATGATAGTTAAAAGATAAAACAGTCATACAGGAGTTCTTTCATTAAAATGTTATAATATTGCAATGTCACCTAACTTCTAAAGAGCTCTCAAGTGTGTAAGTAACAATCTAAATTGATTTTCAGTATGTTCCAATAATCAGGAAATCAATCACGATCACTAAACAATAAGCAACTATATGTCAATTAAGTTAGCGTGAGGGACGGATGTGAAAATCCTAATAGTTAGTTATCGATTTTCTACCACATTTCGAAAGCTACATTCAATTGAAAAGGGCACAAACTATTTGTATTCAAAATGAAAGTGATTTGCTTGGAACATTTGGATTCAAATTACCTTAGATAGCACGGATCTGGATCTAGGTTTTGTGCTCTCTCGACTTAACAAAACGATCAACATCAAAACCGCAAATCCTCCACATAATGTTAACCAAAACATACCCGAAAACCGCCGCCTCACTTGCCGCCGAAACTCCGGCCTTTGTCTTCTCATTTTCTCGTACGTAAAGCCTTACAAACCCTTAAATAACATCCAAGTGCAAATAAACAACAAATCCTCACCGAAAATCTAGGTTTTTGAGAAATAAATTAACCAAAATCGGGGATAATGAGGAACTACGGCACGGTGATTTCAATTGAATTGAGATCGAGATTCGAGAGCTGTGTGATGTAAAAGGGGTTTGATGATTTTAGATCGTTGGGACTCGTTTGGCATCAATCAAGCCACTGAAAAAACAGTGCGCAGTAGTCACCAGGAGTGGTGGAGAGAGATCTAGTTGACGGTCAACTCTTAAGTTTAGATTAAGTTACAAGAATAGCTCCTCACGTTTTAGTTAACTTTCACTTTGTATCCTTCTGTTTTCTATTTTTACGTTAACCTCGTTTTAGTAAACATTTATCGAAGTTCTAAAAAGCTCGTCATGGCTCCGCCATGGCTTCAAGGCTTGTATGTGCCGCCAAACTTTACCAAAACGCCGTCATGACTCATATATGTGTATAAAAATGAATAATAGTAGAAAATACATATAAAAATATGAATTATATACAAAATTGTCGCCTTAAGTCACGTCTTACAAACGACGTGGCTCGCCAAGCCTCGGAAAAACTTGAGGCTTGACATTGCCGCCAATTCACGTCTTACGTTATTTAGAACCTTGATATTTATTAACCATTGGTCTATCTTTTCTTTTGTCATTTATCCCGGGATCATACGTGAAACTTGATTACATAAAAAAATTGGTTAGGGTGATGGTGGGTTCAAATTCAATGGATTTCAATGAAACCGATTCAATGCAACCATCCATTTGATTTTGGATTTTATAAACCGATCCAATTCAATTTAATATAAAAATCTAAACCGAACCAATCTAATTAGATGTTGGATTGGATCGATTTTATCCATTAGATATTTTTGATTGGTTTAATAAAATGATTATCCATTGTCCAACCAATTTTAATTTTTTTATATTAAATAACCAAATATAACTATGATGACTAAAAATAAAATCGCACATAATTACGTTAAATAAAACTAACAAAGTAACATAAACTTCAAGTTTTCAACTTAATTTTTTATTGAATATATAATAATAGTAGTTGGATTTGGATAATAATATTAGATGTTTATTGGATTAAATTGGATATCTAATTGGATCGGATATGTTCGGTTATCCATTGGATTTTCAGGATGATCTAATAACCGATCCAATCCAATTGGATTTTGAAATTTCGCATTCAATCCAGTCCAATTGTAATTAGATATCCAAGCCAATTTGTCGGTTCGTAATTGGATCGGTCAATTTTAATTGGATCGATTAATTTTTGCACGCCCCTAAGTCTTTGGTTAGTATTCTTGTTAGCTGGTATGAATATTATTTTTAGACAAAACTTCAAAATTGATTTTTATGGTTTAGCAAGAACTGTAGATAGGATCTAAAAAGTTTCTAACTTGCATGGAATGTCAAAAATATAAAATGTTGGTGGTTTTGGTCCATTTTGATCCCTGAAAAAACTGTTTTACCCTTTTAAGTTTTTAAAATTTTTAATATTAATATTAATATTAATTATTTTATAATTAAAAAATAAAGAAAATATCCCACCCCTCAATAATCTCTCCATCTCTCTCACTCACTAACATACACACACTCTCTCTCTCTCCCCCCCCCCCCCATTTGTGACTCTATTTCTCTTTTTTCTATCTTTTTCCTCACTTTTCACCAGTAATGAAAAAAAAAACTAGATCAAAGAGGTAAATCCATGTCAAAAATAGAATAAGAATTAGTGAAGCATTAACATCAAATTGCACATAATGTACATGCAACTTGAAACCTAGATGAAAAAAAATCAGATTGCAACTCTCTCTCATGTCGGAAAACCTTTAAAACCCATTTCTCGACCATTATTTTCTTCCCCGGTTAATCAAATACACACATCCTCACAATAAAACTTTATTGATTAGTACAAAGAAAGTATCTTCAACTACTTGTATATGAGGATCTCTTCATTTCATCCAGTACCCCCTAATTGAATCGATTGAACCCACTTGGCCAAGCTTTCTAAGCATCCCATCGTAGATAGAACAATAGGGCTCCAAAAACTCGGTTCCTTTAAAGCCCATTTGAAGGCAATAAGATCATAATGATCATCTTTTTCACTATACAGGATGCCAATAAGTTATTTTCTGTAACGACCCAAAAATCGAGGGTAAAATTTTCATTTTTAATATAGTCAAAACTTAGATATCATTTATTCCAAACATCCAAAACATCGCTAATTAAAAACATTTATCAAAGTTCATCCCAAAATCATTCAATGCGGAAAACATAGGTGTGTGCACTGCGATCAAACCGAGCCCTTCCTTTCTAATAGATGATACCTGAAACCAATAAACAAAACTGTAAGCACGAAGTTTAGTGAGTTCCCCAGAGCATACCCCACACAGTTCACATAATCACATAATCCATATTAGCTATAAAAGCTACACAAACCATATCAATCACATATCTATATCAATCATATAGCCATGAATATAAACATATACGGATGTCGTGGGCTCGTCCCCAGGGTCTTACTCCAGGATGCCATGGGCTCCCCACATGGTCTTACACCTAAGTGTCATGGGCTCTCCCATGGTCTTTAATAGGAAAGCCATGGGCTCTCCACATGGTCTTACATCCAGGTGCCATGAGCTCTCCCATGGTCTTCCATACAAACATACCATATATACCACTAGCATACCACGTATACATACATACCAGACATATCAGTAGCGAATCTACAATAAACACTACTACATAATGGGAAAGCCATGGGCTCTTCATATGGTCTTACATCCAGGTGTCATGGGCTCTCCTATGGTCTTCCATACAAACATACCACATATACCACTAGCATACTTCCTAACTCATACCAACTAACAATCACATAATATAATCTCAGCTAGGATACTACATATCATAAAATGGGCCGGCCTTGGTGCCTTAGACCCGTTGGTATGGTGAGAAGACTCACCTGGCACTGCTGAAGTCCCGCAGACTCAATCCCACACTGCTGAAGTCCCGCAGACTCAATCCCACACTGCTGAAGTCCCGCAGACTCAACCCTAGCTGCTGGATGACAGATTCCCGAACTGTCAACACCAAATAACACCCAATGAATAATTGGGTTCCACTACATAACCATAAGTACATACTTTGGATAATTACTACATTACCCCAAGCTTGGCTTATTCAAGCCCAAGGCCCAATCCTTAGGCCCAAGGTCAACTAGGAATCAAAGCCCGACATATGGCCCAGTTTTCCAAATTGGGACCAAGCCTATACATGATCTTATCTAAGGCCCAAAATCATATAACCATTAAGACCCAAACTACGACCCATCTATGGCTCAATGTTCCAAATTGGGCCCAACTCCCATACGGGCCTTACCTCAAAGCCCATTAATTATTCAAGTCCATTTGTTTGATCTTGGATGACCCTTTAATAACCCAATCATCAAGGCCCAATAGAAAGGCCCCACTTAAGGCCCAAGTGAAATTAGGGTTTCACATAAAATGATGATTAGGGTTAAGTTTCCAACTTAACCCATTAAGGACTTAATCCACTAAGGACTTAATCCATTAAATCCAATATTGCTTAGATTAATCTTTGCCAATGATCCCCAGTCCTTCTTGCCTTCCAGTAATCCGCTGATGACAATCTGTGCTTACCAATGCTGGTGATCAATCACCAGCTAAACCCTGAGATCGCCCATCTCGGGACCCTCTACTATACTCACCGAGCACGAACCTCTCTTCCCAAAGTTCTTATATCGATCTCGCATCTGTAACCTCTTGGAAATCATGTCCTTCAGGGTCTGATACCTTGCCACGCTCACTAGCTCTCTTGCCAATGGCTAAGCTGCAACAACTGGAACATCGTCTGTCCCCAAACTGGGTCACAAACTTCTCCCCGAAGCTTCTCAGATTCTCCAAGACTCTCACCGATTCGAGTATGAATCCTGTGCTTTCAGTAGTACGGGCCCAATATTACCTTCCACACCTATCCATACTTTCCTCGGCAATCCTCCCGGATCCTCCAAGTCACTTCCTCAAACTGATGCACCCAAGTCTCACTAATCCTCACTACTAACCTGCTGAATCCTATCCTAGGCTTTCCTGTGTGTAGATATTTTCTTTATTTTTTTAATAATAAAATAATTATAAGTGATATTATAAAATGAAAAAAAAATTAAGAGTAAATAAGTCTTTTCAAGTTTTTAAAGACCAAAATTACAGTAATATTTTAATTTTGGACATCTCATGCAAGCTGAAAAATTGTAGACCATATGATAGTTTTTTTTGCAAACTATAAAGACAATTTTTGTATTTTTTTATTTTATTTTCTCTTTTTTTTTAAATTTTTTTTAGAATAAAGTATAAGAACGAAAAATAACTTAAAGCATGAAAACTATATGTTATTTAGTTATGAAAATGTAGTTTGATCATCTTGATAATCTATTTAGTCCTATTAAAAATTAATTGAACGTTAGTAAGTTAAAGTTTTGAATTCAATGTGTATTCTAGAAGACATGTTTTTTATGAAAAGGTTAGAAGAAAATTTTGTAAGAAAGCAAAAATGTTAAGGTGTTATAGGTTGATTACGATGCAATTACTGTTAGGAAAATACAACCTAAAATTGTACGAAAGAACAAAAGCATAAAATTCTTGACTGAGGCCTGTGTTTAACACAGTTTCCTTAAAACAAATTCGGCCTATATGGATGTTTGTTTCCCAGGATACAACAGTAGAAAGCAATTCTTCTAGATTGCTCGAACCCTCACTTGGCCCGGATTATACCTTGGTTGCAGCAAGAGAGAAAAGATGAACCAAAGCGTAAGAGAGGAAGAGAGTGATTTCATTTCATCCGGTGATGCATTCGTGCCCGCAGGACGCGCACTCGCACACAAGTTCAGTAGCCCGGTTTTGTAACTGTTAACCAAAAGGAAAAAAGGTCCTTGAACTTTTCGACCGGTGTTGCATTCATTCCCGCAGGACGCGCACTCGCACATAAGTTCAGTAGAACGAAGCCAATTTGGCTCGCATTTGCACCCCCCTGCGTGCGTGCGCAAGAGAGAGCCTTGGTTATAATAAGTCTTACAAAGGTAGCTAGTCTTTGTAGTTATAAACCAATTTCTTTTTCATTCTCCCACCAATGTGGGATGAGTTTTAAACCCACTTAACTCTTTTATTTTCTCTTCCAATTGCTC